TTTTTTGCAGTTTGCTATGCTCTGCAGTGATTAGGGGTGGTTTTGCATGGGAGATTTGTTATTGAAACGCTGACCTTTAGCTTTATCTGGTATTTAAGCTTTGTACTGAAGCCATTACTGTACTTTGGGTACCACCTTGTGGAGACAATTAACAATTATACTTCTTCCTCTGAGACGGTTTTTATGGAGGAAACACAAAATGGCACCTTTGCTACCTTCTTCTATGATGTTTCCTCCTTCATTACAATAACTTTTCAGTATCTTGAACATCCTCTATCGCAGCTGAAACCAGGACACTCGTCTATAATTATCTTACCCCAGGGAAGAAGAAAAATAGCTAACGCACTTAACTCTGGGTTGACTAGCATCCTGGGCCAGCAAGGTACACAACACTCGTGCAAGTCAATGTAAGACTGGCAGCACTAAGTGACTACCAGGAATGGCAGTGACGAAAAAAAAAGAATAAATGGCACTCACAAACGGGACATCTGGGATATCAAAATCAATTCTTTAGTAGGAAGGGACCCTATAGTCTTTTGTGGCTTTTACTGAGAGTCTTTCATTAAAATACTGTAAAACAGCAAGCAAAGACCACTCCTTACTTACCACCTCTTCACCAATGTTTTGGAAAGAAAGGACTGTGTTGAATTTTATAACAACTTTTAGAGGAACAGTTTTGCAGTAAACTTCTGTTTGGTTGAGTAATTTCATCCTCTGCATTTTGAATCTACTTTTTTTTTTTTTACATCAACAACATAGATAATAAGCAGAAATAGTTATTACCTATTAACAAATTCTTAAATAGCGTCTACTAACTGGTATGTCAATGCGGCAAGGGACACTTAGTACACAATACAATACACTCACAGTGGGTCAAGACAGGATATTCTACTGAACAACATTTGGAAAAATCTTGATATTTATGAAAAGTGTTGCCTAGTCTTTTAAGTGCATGTGAACTCCTGGGATTCCAACTGGACAAACAGGCTAAGTGGCATTAAATCCAATTTCTGACTTGCAGAAGGCTGATGGAGTATGTTGTTTCTGCCAAGATTTTAGCCCAACACTAATGAGAAGAAGTGAATTACACTGAAACTTGAATGACAAAACCATCGATTAATACTTAGTTTTTGCTTGGATTTATATAAAAGCCAAATAACTTTTTCATTTGAAGCTGAAGACTGTACCTGTTAATGGACAACTTTTTAATTGCGATGATTAAAATTGGTAGCAGGGAGACTTTAGTACCAAATGTTTCTACCTGAGTATACAGAAAAATATTTTCTTTTATATTTACAGTGAAACTGTTTTTCATTACTTTTATTGGATTTGACATTTGCTTGTGTGAATAATTTCATATACATACAAAATCTCATTCAGTTCAGTACAACAACTTATATAGAGAGATACACAAATACTAATGGCCACGTCTACACAGGAAAATTCTACCTGTGAAAGTGTTAACTGCTTAATTGTGCTAAGGACTACTGCATAGTGTATTTGTAGAGTGTATGTGGAGAGCAAAAGCTTTGATAAGCTCCTATCTAGTCAGTCAAGGGGTTTTGATATTAAGTGGTTTTCTCCACAGCAACTTGAAGCAAAGATTTGGGGACAGGTAATGATAAATGACTGTGAGCTCCATCCTACCATGTGCAGAGTTCACAGGTGTTTCATATGCATTTCATCTTTGGGGGGAAAAAAAAAAAAAAGACAGCTGTGAAAATGCTTCACGATCTGAATTCACTCTACAGATCAGTTTTTCAGCAATGAAATTCAGTGCCATGCTGAGGTTCATCAGAAAACCTATACATCACTTCAGACCTCTGAGTGGGTCTTATGCAGTCTTAAGCCATGAAAGCTTGCCTTCCGGTCTTCTTCAGAAATGTGAATTACAGTCTTTTTTTGAAGAAGAGATGAGGCTAGAAAACAAAATCTCAGCTACAAACCGAGTCTTAAGCTCTCTCTAAAGCATAGAACTTTCTCTCTTATTTCCTTAGAAAAAAATAGTTCTATGTATATATATTCATTAAAATTCAAGAGGAGCCATGGTACAAATGACTAGTTAGAATGTTTTTTTAACTATATGTCTATTTAGAGAAAAACACCACTTTATAACTATCCAGTTGTTCAACTGTTTACCAGATTTTCATACAGAGAGACATTTAGTGTTGATATCTGATAGAGAGATCCTATCATTACCTGTGCTGTATTTGCTGCTTGTCTGCTTTGAAGTTTTAATTATAAGTGATGCCACCTGGGGAGACTTTAGGAGTGCCGAATGTAGAATACAATTTTTAGCCCCATCCTTGCACACCCAAAACATCCATTGAGTTTAACAGGAATTTAGGTGAGTCAGGAATACAGAAATAGCTCCTATACCCTCTATGCAAACAGTTAAATAATGCAATTGGAGAAACAAATAATAGCAAAAAGAAATATGCTAAGAAAAAACCACAACATTTTCAGCTGACTTGAAATAAGGTGGAGACTCTGCAAGGTGGAAGAATGACATTTGCTCCACAGAACAAATGGTAAAAAGCCCTCATGACTGGCTTAGGAACAGAGAATTCTAGGTAAAGAAGACAAGAAAAGCAGGCAAATACAAAGTCTAAGAAATAAGGACATTAAGCATCAGGAGACATTCATGATAGCTTCCATCTCAGTTCTTTATTTCTTGACAGCTGGGACACACACAGGCCTTAAGTTAGACAAACTGCCTTTCTGCTGCTACAGCTCAGCTGTTCTTGTGACTGGAGCTGACAGTCACAAAAATTAATGCTGTGCTAATTGACTGACACATTTTACTCTTCATGCCCCTTATAATAATGGAGGCTGGGCAGGTCTTAAAGGAATTGTGTCTACTGAAAATAGACTTTCTACCTATCACTACATAAGGTTTCTTCTTGGCCTGGACTCCAAGATCTGGTCAGTATGTATTTTCCTTGGCAGTGGACACCAGTGCTTAAGAACTGTCACGCGAGAGGGCCTCAGCAATAAAAACGGATGGACTAATGAATACCTCAGCCAACACTGAACAATACATGACTGTGCTCATACACAGAATATGTGACTGCTGAAGGCAAAGACCTGTGTTCCTTTACCTTTCACAAGGAGAGGGCCTTTGTTTACATGCAAGCCCCCAAGGCTTGTATGAAGCCTGGGCTGCTGTCATTACCACGTCCCAGCCTCACCCTTTCACTCAGCAAATAACCTGTTTTTCACATCGCATCATTTAAGATGTACTTCTGTCAGCTAGATAAGTAGGCCAAAAGTTATGTATTATCATTATCAGCTTGCCCATTTTCCTGGATTTGGGCAAAGTCCAACATCACCTCCCCACCTACCACTGTCACAGTAGAGCTGACTGTTCCCTTCCACAGGAGTGTCACCAGCCCTCTCTGGTAGCAGGAAGCACTCTGACACTTCAGGTCTCCAAAACCAGCAAACAGGCCAAGGCATAACACACTGAAAAGGGCCTAAACGTCTGGCTCGGGACCTCTTAACAGCCACGCCCAGCAACGCAGGAATCAGAGCCAACCCCAGCCATGAGGTGAGGCATGGCAGCACACAGACCTCACGGCAACAGCACAGCTCTGCGCCTCCTGAAGGGAGGCCCCCGCTCGCCTCCCTCCGCAGCCGGGCCGAGGCCGCCGTCGCTGCCACAAAATGGCGGGCCACCGTGCCTCGGGCGCCCCC